CGAGGTAGGGGGCTTCAGATTTGTTCCACACAGGCCTTATGAGGATAGGCTATCCTGAGGTTTGTTTGTTTGTGTCGTACTAACTTGAACTAAGCTGTGATATTTCAGATTATGGCAGATAAACCATGTGAAACGCTCATAATCGAACGCCCCAAAGCAGGAAGTGCTACCCCGAACAACACATACAAACAAACCTCTGTCGTAGTAGTGTGTATTATGGTATTATCCACGCCGGTTTTTAACTGGGCGTGCCTTCTATAGCAACTTGGCGTTTTTAGCGCGCACTGAGTATATTTCCATCTCTTTCTTTTAGCTTGTTCAAGAAACTGATAGAAATACATTTTCTTTACACTAATGGCGATTTCCATTTGTCAATCAGTGCGCACTGAATGTATCCGCATCTTTTTCTAAAAGCATGTAACATGTGAGGATGATAAAAAAATTTTTGCACTGGTTCGACAAATGGAAAACGCTATAATTCTACCATCCGGAAACGCCACCAGAAGGTCTGTTTCTGCAGAAATCACAGACCAGTCAGAGTGAATTTCATTGGTTGAAACTAGTTTTCTGACTGTTTCTGACTGTTTTCAACCAATGAAATTCGCTCTGACTGGTTTGTGATTTCTGCAGCAGGAAACAAGCCTAATGTGTTCTGGACTGGTTCGGAATCGGTCCAGAATGTGATCCGCTAACAAAGCTCGGTAATAATAATGAAAAGACGAGTTACTTTGGGTTGGTTTATCAGCGCTTCTCAGCGACATATTAAGTTCGTTCCAACACAGCTGGAAACCCTATAGTTTACTCTCGAATTTACCCAAGGATAATACACATTACACAAGGATTGCTTATCGGCCTATTTTTGGGATTCAAGATCATCTGGTGTAGCACCGTTGCTACGACATCAACTATGTCGGCAGCTATTTGCGCCAGCGGTCGCAGTTTAGAATATTCAAGTAGAAGCCAGCGGAATTATAGCTTGTGGTGCAAACACCCTACGATAAGGCGTGAAACAACATGCTGCTACGTCATCACCGGTACTTTGGCACTATTTCTCTTTCAACCCCCTGTAGATACTTTAGGGTTGCGGTGCAAAATTTAATAATTATGGCGCAAAATGGTGCAAAACTCAAGGAACAGTTTGTTCTATTATAAATTGAAATTTGACGTGTCGGGGGGCCAACTTTTTCTCTTGCAACCCCGTGTAGCGGCTTAAACGTTGCGGTGCAAAATTAAATATTTATGGTGCAAAATGGTGCAAAATTCGGAGAACAATTTGTGCTATTACAAATTGAAATTTGGCGTGTGGCGTGGCCAGTGGCCAACTATGTCTCTTTCAACCCCCTGTATAGGCCTAACAGTAGCGGTGGAAAAATTTACTATTTATGGTGCAAAATGGTGCAAAAATCGGAGAACAATTTGTACCATTTTAAATTGAAATTTGGCGTGTGGGGGGGCAACTATTTCCCTTTCAAGCCCCTGTAGAGGCCCAAGGGTTGCGATGCAAAATGGTGCAAAACTCGAAGAATAATTTGTGCTATCATAAATTGAAATTTGGCGTGTGGGGGGAGGGCAACTATTTCTTTTTCAACCCCCTGTAGAGGCTTAAGGGTTGCGGTGCAAAATTTAATATTTATGGTGCAAAATGGTGCAAAACTCGGAGAACAATTTGTGCTCTTATAAATTGAAATTTGGCGTGTGGGGGAGGGGGGCAAATATTTCTCTTTCAACCCCCTGTAGAGGCTTAAGGGTTGCGGTGCAAAATCTGATATTTATGGTGCAAAACTCAAGGAATAATTTGTGCTATTATAAATCGAAATTTGGCGTGTGGGGGGGGGGCCAACTATTTCTCTTTCAACCCCCTGTAGAGGCTTAAGGGTTGCGGTGCAAAATTTAATATTTATGGTGCAAAATGGTGCAAAACTCGGAGAATAATTTGTGCTATTGCAAATTAAAATTTGGCGTGTGGGGGGGGGGCATGGTTAATTTGGCCCCCCCCAGTAATACTTCCATATAGTTTCTCTCCTGAGGGGGTGCAAATTTTTTTTCGGGTGGTGCAAAACGGTGCAAAATGGGTGCAAAAAAATGGTATAAGTTTTAATCGATTTGGAAATATGGGGGGGGGGGCTAACTTAACTGACCCTCTGTTTTGGGCAGTCCGTTTGGTAGTGCTCTCTTAATTTACAATAATTAAACACTGGACATTTTTCAATTCAGTTTTTCTTGGAGATGGTTTTACGAAACGACTGTCAACACGTCGCGAAACATGTCTGTGATCGTGCCTAACGAATCTTTCAGAACTGCCAGATTGATCTTTACTGCCGTCATTGAATTCATCTTCGCATAGCGTTGATAAATATTCTTCATAAAAAGTTTCGGGTGTAGCGTGACGACCCGCTCTAGCACCATTTTGAATCGTAACCTTTGTTAACCCATCCACTAAACGCGATAGGTACCGCATTTTCACCAGTAATTTGGCATCCAGCAACTTGACACGTTCTATTTAGCTCCATTTTTCTAAAATAATAATTTGTCATTGTTTCATTCCATTGTTTTGTCCTGGTCAGTATTTTGCATAACGCTGGAGCATCTACGTGATCTGGAAAGCTTTTTGCGATTAATGTTTCCCACTCAATCCAGCAACTAGGATAATTAGCCAAACTATGGTTCCAGCTTCGTGCCATTCCAGCAAAACGAGATTTTAGATGGAAGATTGTTGTAATATCATCCCATTTGTTTATAGATTCTATTTGGTTTACCTTATCAAGCTACTTGCTACTTGCTACTGCAGAAAAAAGATTTTCGTTTTCAGGGTCAAATTCTGGAATGCAATTGCTTTTCAATGACGGACGCCTAATATCCGATGTTCCTTGTTTTGCAATAATTTCCAGCAAGCATTCCAAACGTGATTCTACTGCAGAAGTTGGCTGAGAAGGGCCCGGAGAACTTTCGACGTGGAAACTGGACACACCTGGCTCAGAAGAACGTTGCACAGTCGGTGGCAATGGTCCTATAATAGCCTGAACCTAAATTTGAGACGATCGTTATGGCCTCTGGGCACTGCAAACGTTTTCGTAGTTGTCCTGCCGAATCCTTTTCGACTTACCGTATAAAGGTTCCTCAATCGTTCGCTTTCGGCTTGATTGTATTCGACTAATTTTATTTCTATATTTTCCGTCAAAAGATGATGGACGTGCTGTCAGAGCTGGAAGAATCTTTTCGATGCCTTCCTCGGCCCATGTTTACGTAAGAAACTCAATTGATTAAAAAAATAATAAACAGTTGAATATCGTAACATATATAATTATGTCCACTAAAACTACGTCCTTTACCCTGCACCTGAACTGTAAACTTCACTGTCCTATTTACTATTTTAAACTCAATATAATTCCGTAACAAATTAATATACATATTAAACAAAAGAATTATACGATACGAAACATTATTTTTTAAATACCCCTTTTATTTGTTTCTCATCATTGTTTACAGGTTTTTTCTTTGAACGCGGGTTTTTGCTTAAAGCGGTTACAATAATAAGTTTAATACACACTAACTACTAATCTCACAAACAAAAGAGAATATACAAATATACAGGGAGACAATTTGAAAAGTAGCAATCGGGAATATCTCTTAGACAAAAAGTACTATCAAGAAGGGAATTGAAGGGGGAACCAAAATGAGGCACTTTTTGAGTCACCCCGTCTCGCCCCTAGGGGGTAGCTACCGTAACTTATTTTTTTTTTTAAGAAACCTACTTTGTGTGACATATCGTTCGATAGCTCGTTGCTATCCCTTTGAAGCCCTATAGCAAAATCTTGAATCGTACGATCAGTTTTTGAGATATCGGTGTTTAAAGGTCAGCACATTTTGAAAACTAGTAATTTTGAATATCTGACAAAAGAATTCTGTCATAAGAGTCTCGAATACACATCGACGAAACCAAATAATGTATTAATTATCGTAGAAAGGAAAAAACCTTTCAAATGAGGTATCATACGGGGTAGGTTCTCATTAAAAAAAAAAATATTGAGGGCGGCTAGCCCCCAAGACAAGAGGGGTAGGGGTTAGGCAATGAACACATTTGGTTTCCCCGATGTGTATTTGTGACTTTTATGACAGAATTCTTCTGTATAAGCGATAGTCAAAATTACTAATAAGCAAAATGTGCTTACTTTTAAACACCGATATCTCAAAAAATAATCTTACGAATTAAGATTTTGCTATAAGACTGTAAAGGGAAAACAACAAGCTATGCAACGATGTGCAACACAAGGTACGTTAATTTTAAAAAACAATAAGTTAGGGTAGTACACCCTAAAGAGTGAGGCGGGACGCATAAAAAAGTTCCAGATTTTGGTTCCTCCTTCAGTCTCCCGATAAGTTTTGGAGATCTTCCTGATAGTATTTTTTATGTAGGAGATATTCTCGATTGCTACTTCTCAAACTGTCACCCTGTATGTAAAATAAGTACCTACCTAAATAAAAACGAACGTTGGCAAAGCATGATAAAAAAACTATTTGGTTCAAAGGGATCGAAAATAATGTGTTGTTTTTGGAAACATGTAGGTACTATTTCTATCGATTATTATTTTTTTAATTTCTCTTCGATGATCATTATGGCAATGTTGTCAAAGACAAAGTGTTCCTACTAAAGTAGCAGATAATTAAATTTTGTAATCAATTGTCAGAAGAGTTGAGATATTTTTGAAATGATATTTGATAAATTTAGAATAAAGAAGAAAACACATCCTCCTCTGGAGTGATTTGATTCATATTATAAAGAATTTATGTATTTTAATTTTATTCTATGTAGTGTAATCAGTATTTGCAATGTATATATTTTAATTGTATTGCAAATATGCCATTTTGTTAACTATGCGCCTACATTGTATAATCACAATTACTTGTTTAAATAACCTGTATGCATACTGGCATGAATAAATTGTTTTACCTTTCGTAAGTCTATTCGAATTCTTTTAATGAAGACCTTTTTTCTATTTCAGCTGATAGTGTCACGAGGTCTAGCTTGGCGTTCCTCGGCAAAGCCAAAATACGCACTCTCAAAATGACAATCATTATTGTCTTTGTTTTTTTTGTTTGCTGGACCCCTTATCATGTGATGTGCGTATGGTAAGTACAACCAATAATATTATCCTCAACAATAAGTATATCGATTGAGAAACAAATCAAGTTTTGCAAGAAGGAACTTGAAGGGCATATCGACTCTTAACAAAGTTTGGCCACAAACATGTAATTGTTGCTCTTTTGGGGAAGGCGGTAATGGATTTTAATGGCAAGCATTTATGTAATATCTGTTTTTCGGCTCAATACAGTTGAGCAACGACAAAAAATCAAGTTTCCCAGCGATAATGATAACAGATACCTAAAACGTTGACAGCACATTTTTCTATTCTTCTTTGCTTATAATCTAACGATTTTTTTGCCTTTGGAAAAACATCATATGAGTCAGAAATGGCGCTAACGAAGCCAATTAACTGTCAATAACATCACGGCATATAAAAGTAAATTGGATATTTCTACAAAAAAAAAAAAACATAGTAAAATTTTAGAAAAAAATTATGAAGTTGCTAAAAAGTTTAAGCGGTCTGAAGTCGGCCTTTAAGTTTATACTCGGTAGAGTAAACATTTTACGCATTAAACTATTTAATTCGAAACTATCGAGACCATTGGCAATAATATCGGTAAACTTTTACAGTTTCTAGCAATTATATCTAAATTAGGGTGACCATACGTACAGTATTCGGATCATGATTAAGTTTCTGGTGTATTACTCACATGCCACACAACACCCAAGCCTATATCCAGAGTGCGAGGCTACACTCTATACACATCACCCTTCACAGTTGTTCACCTCTAGCAGGGCACTCTGAATATACCTAGTGACAACAAGGTAACCACATTCAAAAGGGGCCTTATTGTCAAAAATTACTAAGAGGTTATTCCCATATCAAGAGGGAAACCTTGTTCATGGTCCTTCGAGCAAAAAGTTGAAAAAAGAAAAGGATAACTCTATCGAAAAAATGGAGTTACAGTGAAATTAACAGCAAACGGTTCAATCAGCCACCGACAATAACAGCCCAATCAAGGAAACACCGACGGATCACGTGCACCAGCCACTGCCGTCTATCCTGAACTTCAAAGGAACTTCAACTTCATCTCCAATTCACAGCGAGCCGGCGAATCGTCATCGTTATTGGATCGAGTCAACCAATCGGTCAAGTGCATCAGTCGCCGCCGTCCAAAAACAAGAAACAAGTAAACTTCAACTCCAGCCTCAAGTCTCACCTTCAGCCTCAAATCTCAACTCGAACAAGCAGATAATCCGTCACCATCAGTAGATCAATACAACCGTTTTTACGAAACAAGTGTACCAGGTGACAGCCCACAGCAGGTACATAAGTTCGTAAAAAAAACAACTCCACGCAACTTCAGCGCAATGTCTACAATAGGCGAAGAAATGGATCGCCTTGCGCTGTCACAGCAACAACATGGGCGAGACATGCAACGTATGCTGACAAATATGAAGAAAGATTCATCAAACTGAAAAACAATCCAATACTTCGAGGCAAAAGCCAAATCGGTTGAATCATTATGGACCACAATCCATGAGAACCACAAGAAGATCAACGAATTAAGTTGCCCCACCCACAATTACCACACCGCGAACTACATTGAACAACTCAAGGAGGTATATGTATACTGACACAGTGGACTACATAGAAAATGGTTAAAAAAACAGTCGAAGCCCAAACAAAACAAAACGAGATGACATCAAAACTAACAGCACTGCTAAACCAGATAGAAGAAGTCCTAAACGACACTCTTGCAGAAATGGATGATCACATCTCAATCAACCGTCGTCAGCAGCTCCAATGCAAGATAACCGAGAAATTCAAGCAGATTTTGGACCTATACCTACAACTCGAAATCCAATCGGTCCATAAACCGTACAAGCCCGCATACCATACAGGGCACTTGTGAAACAACACGAGCAGATACTGCTACAGCTACAACCAAATGAATCCACAAGCAATCATCCAGCCACACCGGCATCGCCACAAGTCATGCCTACCATCATTATCCAACAGCCAAGGTCGAACAACATATCGCTGCTTCAAGTGAAACTGCCAAGGTTCGATGGATTATATGAAGAATCGTCCACTTTCAGGGACATTTTCACGAAAATTGTTCATGAGAATGGTGACCTCACCCACATCGAAAAAATGGAATATCTGAAGACCTACGCAAGAGGTGAAGCCAGTAGAGTCATTCAACAACTTCAGATAAACAGTGACAACTATATTGCAAGCTGGAACATTCTCGAGAGAAGATACTACAACGAGAGACTGATCATCAACAAGCTGATTGATAAAATCTTGGAAACACCATTAATCACTGACGATTCAGCGTACAAGCTGACGCAACTGCATGACACAATGATAGAATACGTAGAAGCGCTCAACAACATGAAGGTAGACACCAAATCGTGGGGACCACTAATCTCAAGAATAATATGCCGCAAATGGGATTCCGAGACAAATCGATTATTCGAGCAATCCTTGCGAGAGCCAAACAAAATGAATTAGCTAGACGACGTACTCAAGTTTCTGCAAACAAGATTTCAATCCCTTGAAGCCTGCGTACAAGGTAAAAAAAAGTCCAGCGTGTAAACCCACAGCACAACTGAAAGCTGCGGATACTCCAACAAGCCTAACCGCATCATCTACAACTGTCAGAAGTTTCAAGCATTAACTCCATCTGCACAAGTGAAGAAATCGCCGTAAACATCGACCAATGGAAAAGCGATGTACCTGCTGACCCCACGCTCTACCGACTAGGGCCAATCGACATCATATTGGGGACAAAAAAATATGGAGAAATAATTCGAACGGGCATTCCAAAAACAGAAGATTGACTACTCGGACAGCACACCGAATTTGGGTGGATTCTGTCCGGAAACATTCTGCGACATGAGAGAAAATATATGCAAGTTATCAGTCTAATAACGTGCATTGAGGAAGATCAGCAGTTATCGAAATTCTGGGAACCAGAAGAAGTAGCCCAAAACAGGCCAACCACTGAAGAAGAGAAATTCTGCGAAAACCATTGTCAACTCAACGCGAGGAGAAACAGCGACGTTACGTACACAGTCAAGATTCCATTTAACGATAAACTACAACAGCTAGGGATCTCAATATCACGTGCAGCCGCACGACTACTGCAGCCGGAGAAGCGATTTTCAAAAGATCCTCAACTTGAAGAAAAATATACTCAATTCATGGAAGAATATATGAAACTCATTCATATGAGAACATGCCAACAACTGAACAGTAGCCCATACTACACTCCTCACCAGCCTGTAACAAAAGAATCCAGCACGACAAGAGAATTGAGCGGAGGATTTATCCTATGCAAATGGTCCAGCAACCATATAAAAATCCTCAACTCTCTTGATGAGGAACTGCGAGAACAATCCTTACAGGAAATTACTGAAGACGGCACACGAAAATCCTTGAGAATCCATTGGGCACTATATGATGACACCTTCAGATTCAAAACGCAAGTCAACATGGAACAGAAAGTCACCAAACGGACTATTCTCTCCGAAGTTGCGAAGCTATTCGATCCTTTGGGATGGTTAGCTCCAGTAGTCATAAAGGCAAAGCTCTTAATCCAAGACATATGTTTACAAAATTTAAAATGGGATGACTCGATTCCGGCTAACATCCAGACAAAATGGAGGACATTCCAGGATGAACTAAAGGCCGTGGAAGACAGTTTGCTGCCCCAATGGACCAACCAAACAACAAACAGTCAGAAGGAATTACACGTATTCTGCGACGCCTCTGAAAGAGCGTACGGCGCTGTTATTTATCTCAAAGTTACCAGCAAGGAAGGACCACCCAGAATATCAATTCTCACAGCCAAATCTAAAGTTGCTCCCACCAGAACAAGAACTACACAGCTGTGTAAAGCTGTTCTTCTTGCAAAACTCATAAAAAGAACCGTCACTGCATTATCAATGGAGGAAGTTGATAAATATTCATGAACTGATTCAATGAAAACAATATCATGGATAAAGGGAGACGTCACAAGATGGAAGACATTCGTGGCAAACCGAACGGCAGAGATCAACTCCCTACTACCAGACAAAAGTTGTAACCATATATGTCAGAACTTCGGAGAACCCAGCAGACGCTATCCCAAGAGGCATGGATGCAACAAAACTGAAACAGTTCAAAATGTGGTGGAATGGTCCAGATTGGCTAGCGTCAAAACCAACTATGGAAGTATTGTCACGAAAAATAGAAATACCTCCAGTTACGGAAGAAGTAAAAGTGTGTCACGCAACAATTATTACGGCAGAGGATACCAACCAGATGAAAATCACTAGCAGATTTTCGAAAGTTTGTCACGGGAGAGCCAATTTAAATTATTCAAATTACTGATGAGACGTTCCCCATGCTCTTGGAGAATGATGTCTATTGCCTTATTTATTATCTGCGATAAGAACTGTAGCGATAAGCCAGACATAGGACGTAGTTCTCTAAGCCTATTTGGATATGCCAATCTTCTCAATAAAATGCATAAAACTGTTAAACCTAAAAATAGAAAAAGATTTTCCTCAACATTTTTCCCCATCAAATTAAACTTGTCCTATAGCTTCAAAGAGAATAATAAACAGCTTATATTGAGGACTAACCATTAACCTTATTGCCAGTTTCTGTAACAACTTCAGCTGGAATCCCAAGAACGTCAACTGGCCTTTGAATATCAGCCCTTTCAAAACGGAAACTTAGCCTAATATCCTCATCCAACATTTCATCCAATGCGAAAATGACCCTTTCCTCTACCAAATCATCGCCATCCCTTTTGATTAAAACATTGTCCAAAATCGCATATTCGATATCCGGGTCATTTCCACCTCCTAGGATAATAGCCTCCAGAATTTCTTCAAAACCCCCAATGAATTTGATTCCTTTACATTAGGCCCATTCACACGTAGACTCAATCACGCATTCTTGGAACGTCGCGCTCCAATCGCAAATTCGGGAGGGAGGAGTGGAGAGTGGCGCGCCAAGATCGTTGCAGTAGGATTTGATACGGTT